TACACAAGTTGTTATAAAATCTTCAGTAATTTCTATTTTTAAGCAGTTCCTGGGTCAATTGTCTTGCCAACGTTCTCAATAATGGTGTGGACTCATTGTGCTTATCAGTTCTTCATCAGGAACTTCACTCGTGATTAGTGAAGATTGAGAACTGAGTAACAGTTTATCGAGTTGAATTCTCCAATGCCTGATGGTTAATGAAAACAGAATGAAGAGTTGAATGATGAGCATGAGTAAAGCTAAGGAAAGACCAGCAGAGGTAAGAGGACCATGCAGTTTTCCCAGAGAGGGGACCATTAGTTAAGAACTAGAATCACTAGAAAAGAGGGCCAAAGGATGGACCACTTAAATGCAGAAAAGTTAAGGCAGCACACTGGCAGTGTTGGCTTCTACGAACAAAGCTTGTAGCGAATTGTGTACCAGCACTTGTCACAGTGTCTTACTAATAGCATTTCCACAAACTGCTCAACAAACTGTCATAATTGAACATTCAAGTTTGGATCCTTGAGGAAAAGGTTTTAAACATTTGCTAGCAATTTTTTAATTGTTTTTAAGTTGCAGTTCAATTTAAAAGTTTCAATCTGTTTTTGGCTATTGCCAGAAAAGAAAATCACGGTAAGGAAATGTGCACAGGGGGGTGTTTGTCTTTTAGTCTTGTACTATCTTAAGGAAGTACTGTAATAGCAGGTAAGCACAGGTGCTTACATTCATTCTCTGAATCTCAGTTGCTCTTTCCTTGATTAAAAAATCAATTTATTCTTGATTGAATTGATTTATTGGCTCCATATATTGTCCCAGTTGTGCTCTGATGTCACCAAAAGCTAATGCATTTTAATTCACTTGCCAAAAAAAACATTTTAAATTTCTAACCTTTGAAGTAAGGTTTAACTATATCACCAGGAACTATCTTAAATTAATCTAAAGATTCAGGTGGTCAAATTTAAAAAGTATAAATATTGACATCAGCACCAAGGAACAGAAAATGTGGAAATTCAAGTTTAGTACCATATTTGAGCCTTATCAATATAAAAACTAGTCTCAGATCAGTTGGAGTTTATGGTTAGAGAATTAGGTATCCTACCTTTTATAAAATAATGACTCAAATTTATTGAACCAATACATGAAATGGGAGAGTAACATTTGCTTTACCAAAGGCAAGCAAGAATGGTTTATAGACAACTTTATACAAGAGTCAGCCACAGCTTTAAAATGGACTACAAACCACCTCCACCTTAGACCTTAGTTATATTAGGAGTCCCTTTCAGATAATAAAAAGCATACTGAGACAACCAAACTTCCAGTTTCAAGAACCTATTCTTTATTAAAAGTTTTAAGAAATCTAAGCATAAAGCTTCTGTAATATATCTGACAAGGGGAGTTCCTCATCTAATTGCCCTTACTGTACAATGGTAACTGATAGCAACAGAACAGCAATCAGATAGCACTAACTGTTAAACTTTTTTACAACCCTATAAAACTAAATAATGCTTTATTAAAAGTGTAAGAGCTCCGCCTATAAACCTCTTTTTATGTGTCACACCCAGATAAGTGATGAGGTACACATATTTAATCTTCTAGAATAAAAAGGAATTAAAAACGATGTTTGCTCTAAACATAGAAGCAAAACAAACCTTAATCACTCCACCTACTCTAAATATCAAACATAGCCAGTGTTTGAACACCCTTAATTTATATTTAGTAGGTTATTATGTGGCCATTATGACTCATTATGGCTGATACCACCTGTCTTCGTGCTTTCAATTCTTAAGCAGAACAGATAATTCACAATTACACATTTATGTAATTATCAATGGATTATGAATTGAAAGAGATGTGAGTTATAGAAAAGAAAGAAAAGTCCAAATCCAAAAGCTAAAAACCAATTCAGCAATCCATTTAGGCATTATTATCTCAATATAAAACAAAACACTTTATAACAATTACATTTTTGTTTCTTTTTCTATATTAAAAGAGCCAAAACAGCTTTCAAGCAGATCCTGATCTTTTTAATCATATTTTTCAGAAGACAATCTGTTAAATACCTATCCATCAATTTTTTAATCTTCCAATTCAGGGTTGCAGGGGAGCCTGAGCCTATCTCGGCAAGCAATGGGCACAAGGTGAAGCACACCTTGGCGGAACACCAGTCCATCACACGGCACACATACACAAACGCACACAATCACACAAAGGGCCCACTTTCCCAAAAGCCAGTTAGTCTACCAGTACAGTATGTATTTGGGCTGTGGGAGGAAACAGGAGCACCCAGAGGAAACCCACGCAAACACGGTGAGAACATACAAACTTCATGCGCATAGCACCCCAGGTCTGCAACTAAACCCAGAGACCCAGCATTGCAAGGCAGAAATGGTAACCACTGTGCCACCAGGCCCCCCATCTGCTAAATATTTAGAAGGAAAATTGGAAAGGATATTCTGATCTTACCTTTAGTGTTTATTTGCTCAAACCCTGGTTTTAGTGTTTATTCTCTTTTAAGATTGTGTCAGCCTGCCTACTCACGTCTGTCCAAACAGCAACAACCTACTAAGCTAATGAAACTATCAAACACTTCAGATACAGTCCTTAGGGCAAATTCAATTTTATTTGCTCAGTTCTACCGTACAAATATTTTACAGTGTCCAAGATCTAGAGCAAACAATTTTTATTACAATTTTATTATTTGAATTTTTTGTCTTGGTTCACTGTTCATTGATATGCCTCCCCCCTGCAAATTCATAGTTACACCTTAAGAAAAGATTAACTTCAGACTGATTCTGAAATCCTTTTTGCTGCCCTTGGCAGCCTAATGTAACCTACTGCAAAGCCTTACTCCTGTTCAAGGTATGAAAGGGTTTTATTTTTAAATGGTACATGTTATCATCTATTTTTCATGCACATGTTTGAGGGTTCTAAGTAAAATAATGTTAGTTCTCTCCCTTTTTCCTTTTATTGTCAGAAATTCTAGCTCACCTGTAGTCCAGTTTATGGCAGGGTACATGCAGCTAGCTGACCCTAAGCTCTACTACAGCTGTACCTCACTAAAGTTTTTCTGAGTCAAGTGAAGTGGTATATTAGAAGCTAGTTATAACAAAGAAGACGTAGAGTGTGCCAACTGATTATAAGAGAGTTTCAATTACTAAATTACACAACGGTAACATTTTTTCTAGGTTTAGAATTGCATCAATCACATGTAATGTAAAAAAACAGAATATCGGGTGATTAAAATGTAGCAATCATTTATCTCAATTTCCTCTTTATTTGTTTTCAGCCTGGTTACAGCGATACTGTTGAAATAAGGTATGCTACTGAATATACACACTTACACCAAGTGCTTTAAAATGCAACAAATGTTATTGGTTCCAGTACTCATTTGTTGCATTTTTAATTCCTCTCTGTACATAAATATTAATATGCTCTCTTGCTTTAGCTTCCTAAATGAAAAATAGGTTTAACTAAACAAAATAATCATGTCTTAATAAATTATTCTTCCCTTAAGAACCAGCTATTGTTTACATATATAAATATACATAATTAAATGGAGTACCTGCTGTACTAACTAAATTTATTATAGAAATTAACTACGTTTTAGAACATAGGAAATGTACCAGGCCAGTACATAAACCAAGACTGGCTTTGTAATATATTTTATATATTTTTTTAAAACACTGTTAGAAAACTTTTACCAAGCAAGCAGAAAATCTTTAAGGTTTCCTGGCAAAACATTGTCCAAGATTATGGTAACTGTCCCATATACAAACTGCTTGTGGATGTACACATACAGTACAAATCAGACAAAGGATAATTTACAGTATATGCACATACAGATCAGACAAAGGATAGTTTAAGGAAAAATCCATGTAAACATGGCATGAAAATGATCCTTTTATCTGTCAGATGTAAGCCAGTATTGGGACAATGTAAACAGGGTATACGGTGTGACTATTAAAATTATTCAGGGTTCAATATTAATAATGGCAATTTTCTTTAAACATTATATTAAAGTGTATCCCATAGAAATGAACATATTTCAGGAAGAAAAAGAAGAACATGAATCTTTAGAAGATTTGCTGTATATATTCATACCTATCTACATATTTTTTAATGTAATAGGAAACATAATCTTTTTAATAAAAAAAAACAAATATCAACATAGAAAGCACTATGAATATAAGAATATCGACATCTTTTCATGTTCAAACAGTTATAAAGACGTGTGTTTACACAATTACAGTATGTTTCACAACAAACTTCAGTAGCAATGCAAGGAAAATTAAATCTTGTTTAAGCCATCTATCAATAAAAGGATGCCCTCTATTGGTCAAATAAAAGAAGCACAAGCATACACCAACAGCTTTCCCAAAGAAAGTCATCACAAATCACAATTTTTTAGATTTTTACACCAGTTACACATTATATGCACCTACTAGACAAAGTAAGCAAAATCTGAAATACAGGTTTCTGAATTACAAAGTATCTGGAATTTTATTTCTTATGTTAAGGAATAATCATGATTTCCCTTAAATCATGTGTTTCTTACATTAAATTCAGATATAACAGAGTTATTACTTTAAGAAAGAAGAACTCTGAACTGCCTGATCTAAACATAGTTGGCTAAAGTCTTAACCTCTAGTGCCTCAAAACTTAATTTAGATGTACTATTTGGCCAACTCTTGTTTTACATTTTTCCATCAAAAACTATTTCCAAGATGAAGTGATTTTTTTCAACACAGAAAAAAGAGAAACTTTGTTACATTCAGATTAGACTTCTGAAATGGAATACTGTCCGGTAGACCTAACCACACTATATTAAGACTTCAGCTTGTACAAAATGCTGCTACACATCCCCTAACAAAAGTAAAATAAAAATGAGCACATTTACATTCCTATAGCAGATACTTCTTGTTGTTTTCGAAACTTTGTAAGAAAACCATATATTCAAATATACAAACTGCACTTATCACACGTCAACCTGACTTATAACATTTGATAAAGTCACTTACCGATGGGATTTACATCAAAGAACCTCACTGGAGCCCTGAGTATAGACTGGAACATGTGGTTGTGCAGGGTCTGTGCTGCATTAACGAGGACTTTAAAAAACAGCACACTTCGGACAAATCCAAAGAGTACTGTGCCTATTGTCAAACCTAAAATAATGGGAAAATATAAGAATAATACAATTTTATGAGCGCTTTTCGAGAAACATTAGGATTGTAAAACAGCACTCAATACACACCAGAAACAAAAAGAAAAGTGAAAAGGTGCGGCACGTTAACTTTACTGAAACCAAAAATTCTAAAGTACACATTAAACACTTTAATAAAAAGATTAACCTTATGACACTATGCAATAAAATGCAGAGGTCAGATACAGCCTTCTTCAGACTAATGGTGAAAAGCCCTATGATTTTGTAGACATGGGCCAGCATTTCAACTGAAAAAAAAAAACACTGGGAGGTTACTCATCCCTGACATCCCCTTCAGTGATCTATAAAAACAGCATGGGAAGACTAAAGATGTCTTGGCATACAGGTTTTCTTTTCAGATGGATATATGAAGTGGTTTTTTAAATTATGCTGTAACTACTTACAAAACTAGGAGAACTTGCACAACAGATTTTAGGTGAATTCATTTTCACATTAATAATTTCATACGTCTATACTTCATTCTATGCAGGGGGACTAGAAGCATTTCAAGAAGAGTAGGTAAGTTTCCCCTAAGAGGCTGTATTGCCCACAATCATCACTGAGCACAGCAGCATCATGATGTGTAAAAGAAAGTCCATTAAATCTGTTAGAAACTTTGACTTCAATAAAATTAAACAATGGATTTACAGTTGTGAGTATACAAACGTGACAGTAAAAGGAACACAAATTGCAAGAGCTTTCAACAAAGGTGCTCATTAGTCAAACAGCTTGAAACATTTTTTTTGCTAACGATAAGCCTCTCTTTGCATATATACAAAAATAGGCCTGTGTCCTGGATGATGAAAACGGCTGACTGTTAATCTTCATTATTCAATTTGGTCTCTCAAAATGGAAGGTGTCCAGTAACACAAAACATGTTCAAACACAATTTGGACCTAAATAAATATAATTGAAAAACTTTCAAGAAGCAAAAGGTACAGGCATATAGGAAATACAATATATACCTGTTTTTCAGCCAAGGACTCCTAATGCCTTCAATAATTTTTTTTTCTCACAGCTGTGCATGAATAATGACACACTCACTATAACATACCTGCGTAAACTCCTAAGTAACAGCCAAGGTCCAACTCCTGAGTTTCATTGTGCACATCCTGAATAGTCTCATTAACATTTAGTCTCTCCTGTTCAGAAGCCCTATACATCACAAAAGAATCAAAAAGTAGAAGGTCAAACAAAGCAATGTCTCAGTTAATAACCAGGAAGAATAAAAACACAGAGCCCAGAGAAAATTCATGAACTCCACTACACATATATGTAGTAGAGAAATGGTTGTTAAAAAAAGAGGACTAAAGCTAAAATAGTCATTTTGGATATCATTATAATATCAGTATTTTGTATCACAATTGCTGTAGAAAAAATGTTTCATTTTGCTCTTTTTTTCTTAACCACAATACAGTATGTTTCTTCTTAACTTTTCCATTTTGTATATGGTGTAGCAAAGGAAATATACATGAGTAAATGAAAAACTAAAGGATCTGGGTTTTTACAGGAATATAATTAATTATAATTTTACAGGAAATCATGTGATAATATCTCATAAAAGGTTAATTCTCAAACTAAGTGCTACAGAAATCAAAGATAATCAAGATCAAGAACTGTTTAAAACACAGAAAACAGAAATCTTAAGGGTATAACCTCTAAGTGGTAAGCTGCAGGGATCATTTTTAAGCCAGCTGCACTTAAAGAACTACAACAATTTAGATTCTTAACAGAAAACCAGTTAACTAACTTTGTAGATGCAAAACTATGGAAAGTGGTAAAGAAAACAAAGCAACAGCAAATGACTTCCAAAAAGAATTTCAGGTACGGAAGAGCCAAGTGGAAATTTAACATGGAGTGCAAAATGGTTAATACAGGAAATAAAAACATACAATTTTACAAACATACAAGTCTTATGTATGTGATTCTACACAGCATGAATCTACAAATGAAAGAGAACTTGGTGTCCTTATCAAGACTATGTAGATAAGTGATGAATATACCAACAGAATGCTTGGTATGACTATAATAATATCCTTATACTAATGTAGTGTTTTTCTGGAAGCTCCTCTCAAAGCGCTTTACAGGTAATGGGGACTCCCCTCTACCACCACCAATGTGTAGTCCAACCTGGATGATGTGACTACAGATTGATTGAAAGCTAGTGCCAGTTAGAATGATGCATTATTTAATCAGTATGACAGCAATGCTGAAACATTAAGTAACTTAATAAAGAAAACAAATGTTAGAGAATAATGTATAAATCTTAAGGTTTTTTTAATTTGAAAAAAAAATTAATTTGCATGCAGCCTCACAGTAAAACAGCAGTGTGAAGTATGTATAAAATCTGAAAAACGTCTGGATCTTTGTCATGGAGAAAATTGTTGGTCAGGGAAAATGGAGATTCTGTTCTGAACCACATTCCCCAGAAGGCAGTAGGGAATGAGCTACGGCCCTCAGTCATGTGACTTGTTGTGAGAAGTAGAGGCTTTCTGGATTGGTTCTGATCTGCTGCCTAATGTACAGAGAGCAGATTCTGTGTGCAGCCTCACCAGAAAAAATGACCAACCTGAGAGGTTATGTTTTTGAAAGAGTCTCAGAGTGAGACTTTTTAAAAGCTGTTTAAGAAGGAGCTCAGCTTCCTGGTTATTACCTGTATGTAATCTGATTTGGACTTTGAGCCCAATTGAGCCCAAGAGTAGTTTAAGATTAAGTAGAAAACCCCTATGTCTATGTTAGTGCACTGCAGTGACCACACTCTGAGTAAAATGAAATGTGAACCTTAAAGCTGATGCTTCTTACCAATAAGATAGCCACCAGTCCTGAAGGACATACATTGCCTACAAAAAAGAAAAAAAAACAACAACACGTTGTCTTTTATGCTTTGAAGTATGCATTAAACATGGCCACATTCTCTTATAAAGTGACAACACTTTAATTGTGAATTTGTAATATGAGAGGTGCTTTTCAGTGACATCACAACAGCTCATATATATTCGATTATACTTGCATTTAAATATAGAGATGCAGAGCTCAAATTTACCTTACTGCAAATAAGAATTCAAGACCTTTTTGCTGTACTCTTAAGCATCATTCTTAGGGGTGAAAATCTAAATTTAAATCAAACTGTATCAAGACCATTGTTGACTTAGTGGTTTACCATTTAAATTAGCATAAAATGTTTCAGTTCTTTTTCATGTTTTCCTTTCAAAATTCAAAGTCAGAATTTAATCCCTTTTTCCCCACTTCAAATCAAACATAAGCAGATAAAGAAACTGAAAATCATAAACAAAGAGCATTTATGCATACTGTGGCATATTACCCTGCAGAACAATATATTAGGCAACTAATAAACTGAACAGAAATATTTATATCATATACCATTAACAAACACTATGTTCAATTTATAACATCACATACCTTTACTACAATCTCTTAAAAAAACTGAAGCAGAAAGGAATTATGAAATCACAGGGACAACTTTGTCCCAAGAGCCACTCACTGTCCCAATTACAGTGAAGCGTACTTCATCAAAAGTTTAACTTTTGCAAAATATCCTGCTGCACAATAAAACGGGAATACACATGCACTAATCTGGAAATGGGTCAATAGGAATTTAGTGGAAATGGTTGTGTCTTTTAAATTTTAAATTTTAAATAGTACATACACATATGTACCGGGCAGCCAAGTAGAACAAACATCTTTCATATTTAGTATCACATAAAAGCTGCACACCTGGCAAATTTAACTTAAAGAACGTCTTCAATTGATTAACAAATCACTGTGTGAGAAAGCTGGCTAGCAGAAGAACCACAAAGAGGAAAGAAGATGCATATATGACAAAAAAGATGTTCTTACTTTGGGGGGGGGATGCACTGGAGGAAGAAGAAGAATTATTTTATACTAATTATATTCTAATTTTACTATTATATATATATTATATATTATATACTTATTTTTCACAACCCCAATTATGGTTATAAAACATGATAGGTTTAAGATAAAATAGGGTATAGGACATTATCAGTTCAGTTTTTAAGGCTTTAAAACCACATCAAAAGAAAGATGAGATGCAATCAGATAGAACTCTTGTATAGGAACCTATAGTCACTCACCTGTGCTAAGACATTGAGCAGGACCAGAATGAGAAGAACTAAAATATGGGCTCCAGCCGCAAAGTACTTCCAGTAGACTTTAACACCGATCGTCCCCTCAGAGCGAGTTTCTTCAGCGAAGCCCATCTGCACATGCTCTACCTGACAAAGAACCCTGACGCAATTACCAAAAGCTAATCACAGAATGGCAGCAACATCTTCCATTACACTTAAATATTTACACATTGACACATAGCTTCCAGAAAATGCAGGGACGCAATAAAAAAAGCAAAACAATGCTAGGCTGCACAGTTAAAAGTGTAGAATTCAAGCCAAGGGATGTTATAGTAAAATCGCATAACGCACTAGTTAAGCCTCATTTAGATTGTCATGTACAATTGTGGTCACCGTGCTACAAAAAAAGATATTGCTGCTCTGGAATCAGTCCAGAGAAGACCACTCAATTGCAAACTGGGATTTAACAGAATATTCTGCGGTTGCACCTGTGTCGTCTAGTTGGAAACACCAGATAACACAACCAGATGACACAAATGGAATACACCGAAGTGCATTTAAAACCAAAAACAGGAGCCACTTCTTCACCTGAAGACAGATACCCAGACATGTGGTTGAAGCCAATACTTTGCCTACCAACAAGAAACAGCTGGATAAGATCCTTAGATCAACTAAGTACTTGCTGCCAAACAGGCTAGATGGGCCAAATTAACCCCTCTCATTTTGGAACCTTTCTAATGTTATTGCCTCCATGTATAAAATACAAGTAATTTATTGAATACATCAAGATCTGGAACTCAAAGTGTACAAGAGCCATTTTAGTAGTTAAAGTCACATATTATTTTCCTAATTAGCAATTTCCAAATTAGAAAAGTATTTTAATCATAATTATAATATATTTTAAGTATTTATTAATGACATGACGTATTATAAAAGATAAACTGAAAGTGTAATGAATAACAAACAGCAAATTTAAGAACAAAGACCAAAGGTGAAACAGCAGTGACCAGATAACTCAATTAGTAAATGTGTCACTATACACAAGTGTAGTGAGAACTTTAACAAGTCTTAGAAAACTTAAGAGAAAGTTAAAAATATTTTCATATCAATATCAAAATAATGCTCTTTACTGCACTTTGAAACGTTAAAAAAAAATCAATATTGCCCTCTAGTGTCAGACGGCAGTAAAGCAGACAAAACACATCGAATTCAATTTCTTGGTTAAAGTGTCAATTTTCATGAGCTTTCTGATATTCTCCAGTATATTTAGAGAGGTTTGCCTTTCTGATGCTAGTTGGTTCATGGTTTTCCAATATATCCTAGTAGAGTTTTTTTATTTCTTCTAAATAGGCCAGAGGAGCTGAATGGTCTTCTCTTGTTTGTAACCTTTCATATGCTCATGTTGTAAACTACTTTGCATCAACATGAATGTAATAGCCAAAGTGTATCAGACTTTTCTGTCATTGCTCTTGCTCTAAACCATCAATGTAACACTGTTTCCAAAGCTGACATTTTGGCTCATCGTATTTTTTACATCTACTATATAGACTACTGGTCTTTTGGAATTGCTTAGGTCTACATTTGTGGTTGCAGATAAAGGCTGCTGCATAATATATTTTTTCTGAACTGCATGGGAGCTCAGGAAAGCCCAGCAAACTGGGGGCAGTTAAGGTAGCTGAAGTAAAACGTTTGTAAAAACAGAATTGAATTCACTCTCTTTTACACACCGGAAGCTGCTCTGACCCATCCTTCACAGACAGCATAGAAGAGGTGTGTGACCTCACAGAGGTCTGGGAGATGGTACGACACCTCAGAGACCGGTTGTTGTTGGCAGCTGTCTCTGGTGCAGGCTGAAGCTCCTCCTCATCATCATTTTTCAGCAGGGAGGTGAAATCCACCCCAGATCTCTGCAGCTCTGTAAAGGTTCCTTTGGCAACTGTGTGACCCTAAAATGCATAAATGTTTTCTTTAAAAAAATTAATTAAAAAAGGGAGATAAGGTCATAAGCATAATTTTACCTTATTGCCTGCCATCGGCATGACCACTCATTTAAAAACAAAGTTTAAATTAATAGACATGAAGAAAGGACTAACCTCTTTCAAGACAAGGATAAGGTCAGCTGCCTTTAAATATTGTAACTGATGTGTCACAAGAACGCGGGGTTTGTTCCGTAGCAAACCACAGATGCACCTAAATGTCAAAAGAAAGACTGTTAACTGACTGTAAGCATTTCCATGCAATTAAATTCAATGAATTATCATAACAAAGCACTCAACTTTTGAGGTTTTACATCACTTCCAACAACCCTAACTGATTTACCAGACTGGCTGGGAGGTGTGAATCTGTCCCATTTAATGTGAAATGTTTCAGTTAATTTGATATTTGTTTTCTTCTGTATTAAACAGTTTCAATTCTTGAACTACTAATGTTACACCACTTCACTTAGAGATGCTGGAATACTCTCTTTTGTAGTTTTTCAGCTGGTGGTGTTACTGGTAAACTGAAAAGTGCAAAGAGGTTTCTTATAATCACCAATTTAAGTGACCACAATCTAAAACATGAAATTAAAATGCTGATATGGGCTTGCTATAATTTCAGTTTTCAAAAAACATTGAAAATAAGCAAGATTGACAGGCAAGATAAGTAATAAAGTACTGAAAAGAAATTGTAAAGGTATCTAAATTACTGAAAACATTTGAAAGTTGGTATTAGTGTTAACACAATGTAAATCAGAGCAACTGAAACGGATACAGACCGGTAAGAGGGTATACTAATCACAGCCATTACTTTGCAAAGTTTTAAGCTATAGAAGATGCAACAATATAAACTGTATATACCCTTTTCTTGTTTGCATAACAGGTCTACTTTAAAATCTGGAGACATGACGAAAAACCACCAAGCACTGGAAAAATGGTAGGAAACACTGGAGATTTTAGAAAACAGGGTAGTACAATGTTGTTTTACATATGCTGACTTACTGTTTTGTCACCAATTTGTTCTATAAAAATAAACAAATTTGTACCCAATACAGTTAATTAATAATGAACCGTTTTAAAATAGGATTATAAGAACACATTGTCCCTCTCAGTTTCACAATACATTGGTCTTATCCTTCTTACCATTTGTTTCCTTTGCATGTTTTTTATGAAATAACAAAGAAAACCTCCCTACTTAAACAATAACTTATTGTGTCTTATTGAAGGGTTCTGAAGCCAGGAAAAGATTTTAAAAAATATGGGGAGAGTAAGGGAACTCTTAGGAGAAGCACTCCAGAGATTAGAAACAGCACTGTACATTCAGAACTCGGCACTAATGCAGCTGGTGTAGACAGTCGACACAATAGAAAACTGCGATTTCTGAAGGGAAACCTGTTTAAAGAGAGCCCCACCTAAGCGTTTCATCTTTCCTTACCGATTCAAACCAAAAAAATGACTTAACTGGTCAAACAAGTGCCTTCCCACTTCAGCATCTACAGCACTAAGAGGGTCATCCAGCAGGTAGATGTCAGCATCCTGATACACAGCTCTTAAAATAAAAGAACAGATTGAATTAAAAGTGGCTTACATTGGTATGTAACTCAAGGGTTTAATGGATACACATTTAAATTTTAATATGATGTCTTACAAAAAAAAACTGGTATTTCTTGAATGATTAAAGCTTGTCAGGCATCAGCTTGCTTTCAAATTCAATTTTTTTCCTCATGGATTCATTTTCTTCCTTTAAATAATACCACATCTGAAGTGTTAAAGAAAGTTTGTCTGACGTGTGCACTCTCTTTAAACAAAAACAGGTACAATACAACAAAAAGATTAAACCTGGGCTCTGCAGTGTCCAAAGACATTATAGGAAAACAAGTTATACTGGATATGATGAATTATGGTAATTTAAGACTGTTTAATGCCTGTATAATGTTTCACAACTGGTTGTTACAGATAAAGGTCATCCAAGACACCTCTCTCATCCTATAGATGAAGTTACACTTGTTTAAAAAGCAACAAATTACATTTATTTTGATACAATGTACATAATGAAGAGGAGATTAGAGGGTTGTTCAAAATTTCTGTTGTTGGATTAACTGGATTAACATTTGTTTCAATATTTTGTATTTCATATTTTCTATTAAAATTACAAAGTGATGTTTGTGTTTCTGTTTTGGGTGAATTTATATCCCTTTTCACTTTTCTTCCCACTTACAAGGTAAAGGAACCAACAAACACATGGGGCTACTGAAGGCCATTAAGAGTAACCCATGAACTATGCAGACCCTATGGAATTACTGAAGGATTCTGTATAATTTCCGGGTATACAGTATGTGTTATTTATTCTAGAATGCTGAAAACGAAAGGTGTTCCGTTACCTGGCAAGATTCACTCGAGCCCTCTGACCTCCACTCAGTGTAGCACCCCGATCTCCAATTACTGTCAAATCCCCATCTGGCAACAAGTCCAGATCCTACAAACAAGTGAACCAAAAGCCACACACCAAAAAAATAAATATTCGCCCACTGTAGAAAGAAGACAGCTATATATTCTGCACATCTTTTTCAATATGCAGTAAACATATATTCACAGTATGATGAAAATGGAAGCAATGGCTTACTTTCTTAAGGGCACATGCTCTCAGGACTTTCTCATACTTCTGCTGCTGGTACTCCCGCCCAAAGAGGATGTTGCTGCGGATGGTCCCCGGGAAGACCCATGGCTGCTGAGAGGCGTAGGTCAGGGCTCCCTGCATTTTCACCACGCCTTTTTCCAGAGGCAGCTCGCCCAGAATGGCGCTCAGGATCGAAGACTACAAAACCAACAGCCAATTAGGAAGAAAAAGGTCACTGTTCTTAAATGTTGCATATTCAGTAAAGCTAAGTGAGCATTTGTTTCTTCCTGTATGGTTCAAAGGAAAGAAAAACCATCACTGTGCCGAACATCCAAATTTGGCTGAAAATAATTTAACTGCTAAATAATTGTTTTGGATGTGTATATTCTAGACCAGGCTTGTCCAATCTGGTCCTGCAGAGCCAGTGTGTCTCTGAGTTTTAATTCCATCACAGCTCTTAACAAGCCCACCTAGCTGGTTTCTGCCTTAACTGGAACAATTCTTTGGGAGAAGCGGTTTTAAAATGACCGTGACAACCTACCGACACAGCAGCCTCACCACAACCAGAACTCCATTTTGTCTATTATTTTTTTCAAACATACCCACCTTATCACCTTAATCAGTTGACAAACAGAAATTGTTCTCCTATATTTAGGATATATCCTATATTTTATATTGCTCACTCAATGTCCTTTAAAACTTAATCTTGAGGGATTTTTTGGTTGTTTTTGAGGGAATTACTTTCCAACAATTTTAGATGTCTAAGAAATAGAAGACCTTATACTATAAAACCTATTAATAAATTAATTTAGCCTATATGGTAATCAAATGGAAAAAAGCTCCATTCGGATATTCACTTGCTTTCATTCTCTATTGGTTTGCTATTCAGTTTTTTGCCTGTAACCAAAAAACTGAATAGCAAATTAAATTATTTTGTTATTATAAATTTGGCAGGTACAGTAAATCACCAGAAATAAAAATATCAACAAAGTTAATACATCTGAAATTACACAAAGCACATTTTTAAAGTGGAACAGTGGTCAGGGTATTGGACTTCAGATGGAAGGCTGGGGATTCGAATCCCAGATGTGACAATGTTGAAGTACCCTTGAGCATGGTACTGTACTGAGATCACTCCAATGAAAAAAAAGACATCCTGCGGTATAGATTCAGAATTTGTTCTCAAAGGACTTGTCTAGTTATTAAAGCCTTAGTTTTTAGTATATGTTTCAGATATATTTTCACAATAAACCAGACAGTATTCAGTAATCAGTATTCTCATGAATGATGAGGAATCAAATGTTAAACCACTATATGCTTGGCTATTATTCTGAACAGGGGATATTTCCTGTTCTCATGTGGTTCTATAGTTAGATGTGGACTCTAATCTGAGCTTCCTGAATCAGCACAAATGTATTTGATTGGCACTGTTCAGCTGAGGTTATTGGCACTGTGCTGGGAACCAACATGTTCCCTCTTCTGGCATCACTGGATACTGGACTGCAGTGATATTCTGACTTTTAGAACTTGAACTTGAACTGCATTGCCATATATAATGGGTACATGTTCTGGTACAATGGGAATCTTACTTACAGAAAGTCTCGATTGTAAAAAAACACAAAGTGCAGACAGTGAATTTAGATAATATACAAGCAAACAGTAGACAATATACAAGTAAACAAGTAAAGAATGGATCTTGTGGGAAGACTAGGGAGGCTTGGAGTGCTTCTGCTGACACAGGGGCTTCCATCATTGCTGTCTGACCATACCTTAGGGGTCATTAGTGAAAAACATGGAAGAAAGTAGCATTTAGGGGAATGGGTGAAGAAGTGCTCTATGCATGTGGGAAGGAAATCACTTTTACTTTTGTGTTGTATTTTCTAAGTTTTGAAAAATTAAAATATATTCACAGAACAAATTACCAATAAAGCAGTTAAGGTCAAGTAATAAAGTTTCATGCCTGAGAAGAAATTACACTATATTCTGATCATGAAGCACAATACATTTATTAACTTGGGATACTAGATTAATCACCTTTATACAGTACATATCACTCTTGAGCTGAGCAATTATGTTTGAATTATTAATCTTCAATATTAAACCAAGATTTAAGCAAAGCTGCTAACATCAAATTTAAACTACAGGAAAGCTAATGCCTCGAAGAAATATGACTAATAGGCAGCAACATTGTTTTATGCATCAGTTAAGTGGGATAAAAATAGAATCCTAATATTTAGGAAAGGGTCTGCGTAATACCATATGATGGGAAATTAAAACTTCCCCTTTTCTGCCCTGAGTGTCTCTGCATTGCTGTGTAACACATGGAGACTTACCTTCCCTGCTCCTACTGGCCCAATCACAGCCAGCAGCTGCCCAGGCCTCACGGTGAAGGAAACGTTCTGTAGTGTTGGGGCATCCAGTGACTGCAGAATAATATTAAGCACCAAGGGGAAACAAATCAGCTTTTCATCACGCAGGTTAAAGAAACTAATGTGACCACTTTTAGCTGCTGTTTCATTCTTTGTTTTAATACCTTAGGCCAATTTGACTTCTTTTTAATGCGATTACTCTTCACAAAAATTTTAGTGAAACTAGAAATGTATAGTAAGTCAGGGTTGACTATGGGAAACTGCAGGGGAATACCCTCACCTTATTTCTTCACTTCAAAAAAATAAAGGGATTGTTCTCATATTCAATCCCCAGAAACATCAGAATTGCCAAGCACTGTCTAAGAAAAACACAGATATTGTGGCCCAGTATAAGTCTTTTTTGCATATAAAAAACTGCTAATTTTAGACTCAGCAGCCAGTCATGGCAACCTGGCACTGGAAAGCCACTTTCTAGTAAACAGAGACAAGAAATGCCTGGTAAATTTGAAATGGTTTCTGGAATGTATAACTGGTGGGTGTGTCAAAGCCTTTTCTCAGTTTATTACTCCTTTTCAAATCTTAAACTCCTTTCTGAAATGAGAGAATTTACTGATGTGAAGAAACATGTATTCATTACTCTGTTAAAGTAAAAAAACTGTAACTGTTTTTAAACATTTATTACAATATGATGAAAAACTGAATTTACAGAACCTTTGAGACCAAAAAAAGAAGAAAGCACTACACTCACCAACATCTTTGGAAATTCTTCTTAACGAAGTCAAAAAGTTAAATATCTAACCAAGTAGTTTGTAGTTTTAGTTGTGGACTTAACACACCAATGTCAACTACTTATTCTTATTCAACTTCTTATTAAAAGGAAGAATATATGTGTGTATTTTGGATGCCATTTTTACACACATTATAGAACATTTTACTTTGTGTTATGAAGATTTATTCCAAAATAACACACAGATCTGGGACTTCATTAACTTCAAAGTTATTGTTTTCCTTTCAAAATAATCCCCAATGTAGGGTTTACATCTCAAAAGGCAGATTTATTGGAAACTAATTTAGTACATTCATCAATAGTTTCTAAATATTAGTTTCTTGGTGGAAAATAAATTAATACTGTATTTTTTTTAACATTGTGTGTTATTATACTGTACCTGCAACCTAGTAGCAACTTCCCTTACCTTTGTAATATAAAATGTAAAGGAAATATTAAGAAAATAATATCTAACTTTTTGTTTACCTTTAATGAATTGTTACATTGATAAAATGTTATGTTTTAAATGTTTTCACATATATTTAATTTTTAAAACTGTCTGTTTCAGTAAGTGCCTGTCACCAGAAAGACTAATTGCAGAAAGCTTTATCAGGCAGGTTTTTACTCTTTGTCCAGAAAAAAAAAATAAAGAGCTAGTGAACTTCAAATGACGCCTTATAAATACTAATTAATTTGAAGTAGTGAGGCTAGTAATGCATAGCTCTCATCTATTCTCTAAGGCAGGGGAACACTAAAGTCTATAAATCATTTCCTCTACATCTGATGTAGAGTCAGGCATGACCAAGATTTCAACAGCATTGAAAACCACAGCTCACATGACATGTCACACTATGTACTGCATTAGCACAGTGCACACCTCAAGAAATATTCAGGTATAGAGAATGAAAAGACTGGAAGTTTTGTAGAAAGTGTAATATTTACCTTATCCCAGTAACAGATTAAATCCTGGACCTCAAGCAGTGATTCTTTCACCTCAGTTTTTGGCAGGTTGGATTTAGGTTTCTCAATCTCATCCAGCAACAGAAATGTCTACAGAAACAAACCACAGCAACTTCTTGTAGTTAATAAAATGTAATTTGCATGCTTTTAAAATAGTCAGTTGCAAACCCCTTTATCTTTAATTTGCTTTAATTAACAAATGTATGTGGTACAGTAATTAACAGATACTTCTAAGAGACATTTGGCAATATACTTCAGTATAAAGCATTAAGAACATAAACAAAACTAAAAAAAATCACCTTCTTTTACACTGTCTGGTATTTATACCTAAAGAGGAAATGGACCTGTCTCACGGGAAGTTTTTCAAGATGTTTACACTGCTAGAAACATCTTCAAAAGATGGAATCGGTGGAAAATGAGAGGAGGCTTGGTTTGGCTTTGAAAAAACATGATGGACTACAAATAAGCATAAATTTCCTCATATGTTAAGTCTGTGTTAAAATCTTAAAATTAGAGTAGTCTGTAAAAATATTTAAAATAATGCCATGCAGCAATTTGTTATTTTTCATACAGTAATCTAAAGTTTTCTGTAAACATAGGCTAATGTCTTAGCTTTCGCCAGGTAACAATTAAGACCTTTATTTCTAAAAAAATATTTAAACTAAAACATAGACAAAAGAAAGGCCTCTTATGCAGAAGAGTTAACAAGAAGCTGTTGATTTACCATGCAATCAACTATCATCCCAGCCAAGCTCAAAGGAAATCAGTAACAACAAAAACCAAGATCCAACAATTGATTGCATGGTTACACTGACCTAACAAAAACTGATCTCACATATTTGTAGGCATTTAAATTTGACAGTAGCTAAACTACATGTTCTGTTCTGCCTCAATTGCTCAACCTTCATTGTAATTGAATTATCTAATGTCTGGATCTCAAACTTTGTATGAGTCATTATGCCCCAACATTTAAGTTGAACTCTTACCACCATGCAATACAGCACATCACTGATCCAACCAATGGATCAAGGTCTGATTGCTAACAGTGTGCAAAAAAAAAATCTGCACTGAAGAAGCAAATGACATTGCTGGTTTTGACAGGACCACAGTTCAAAAGGATTTGGTAACACTAACTACAGTATTCCTGTAAAATAACTATACTGTTCTTTTACACTGTTCTTATGGGGAAAAATTCCCCTATATGTCATTTTGACTTTCTCATCCCTAACACCTAAGTACTGTATATCAGGAACCATCGGTAGCCAAGTACTGCTTCCTCAATCATAACTGCTGATCAAAACTCTTGCTGTTTAAGAGCAAGAGCACCTTAATATATTATCCTATACTGCTAAATTGTTTCAAGTAATATGTCCATTACAATTCACATTTTTTCACAGTTTAACCAGCTTCTAAACTCAGCATTCCACAACAATAAGATGACAGCTTCCATTCATGTAGGGTTCTGGCCTTGAGGCTGGTGTCTCCATGATGTCACCTACATCTGCAGTTGGGGGGGGGCATCCAACAAGCAGCTACCTTAAACACACACACATCCCCCAAGATGAGCTATTTTAATTTTCCTAAAAGAGATTATCAATATTATTTCATATATGAACTCCTCACTATCCCCAAATCTAAAGCTCTGGAAAAAAAAAGGTTGCTCTTCCCAGTGCTGTTTGCAATACTGTACCTCTATCCTGCGAATGCTAACCATGGCCTCTGAGGCTCTCTCAATAGCAGCTGGGAAGAAGAGGGTGACAGTGAGCCTGATAGCGCTGTATAAGGACACAGCCACAAACACACGACTGGCTGTAATTGGGTTGCCAAGCAACACATAGGTGGTGAAAGTGATGAAGAGTATGATTTTGCTTGCAACAAAAAATGAAGCCATGTTCATCCCACGCAGGTAGGAGCTCTTGGTCACCTTAGAAATTTCCTTCCTGAAACAGAAATAATGTTTTAACACTATAGCATCTTTATGAGCTAAAATATTGTTTCTGTTGAGTTTATGAGATTTCAATTTTTAACAGACCCTTAAAGGGGTATTTAATACAGTTAGGTGTGCACAGTTTGTAAAGCAGTCTAGCAGAAAATTTGTATTAAATTCAAACCATTCTTCCGCAGCTTTGAAAGACATTTAAATACTGAACTGCAGATCACGTCATCTACGTCAAGTCAAATGAATGGAAATTTCTACATGAAAAGTAGTTGAGAGTACTACAGACCTGCTGTTACTCTTCCTTAGGTTAAGGTTGACAGCTGAAAATCAAGTCTCTTGCTATAAAAGTTAACTATTTACAGAAGACCAAGTCAAAGGCTAACATTGTGTTGTTTTCCTACAAAAAGGGGGTGTAACAAAACTATGTTCATTATAATAAAGCATGATTCAACTGCAGCTGAGTATGGGAAAGATATAATGAATATAATCTTTTAAAGATTAGAGGCAAAGACATGTTCCAGTTATCAAAATAAAAATACACATTTGGAGCTCTAATTGTAAGATTAGTAGATTTTTTGCAATATTACAGCCAGGTTGTTCAGTTAAAATCAGATAATTCAGTAACAATCGGCAGCTGTGACAATGTTCAGCATCTTATTTTGCAGGCATCCCTTAGTTTACGACCAACCAATTTACGAATTTCCTCTATAATGAAAACTGTCCAGTCAATTTTATCCAATGTCAGCTTTCTGGTGAAGGTTCAGTTCAATTTTTTTTTTAATTTTATTATTCTCTCCTAATTTAATAGCATACAGATTGATTGACTAATTTTTCAGTTTTCTTTTATCTAAGTGTTAAGATCTCAATTTATTTTAAATTTTATACATTATAATTAAGGTTAAACCATTACACATATTTCTTCTTTAGTAAGTTTTGTTTAATACTTGTATAATTTGCATAGCTACTTTACACTGTAAACACCATTTAACAACCTAACAGAGATCTGTTAGGTTAATTAGACATTAATAGTCATTAATTAACAAAATAGTAATACTGTTATCACTTTAATACTTCTGTACTACACAAAAATTTGAAATGTATGGATGATTCAGGAACTAATTGGAGGGATTTACATATAATCTTATGGAAATTAATTTTAGATAACATGTCTAAGCATTTGTAACGGGAATCCTGTATAATTCTGGAAATGGCATTCATATTCTTAAAAAGGAGCAATGCTTTCTCTGATATCCTCTCATAGTAAGAAGGTTTGTTTTGGCATTTGCAATGTGAACATTTTAACAAAAAAAATAAGTTTGAAATTATGAAAACCGAACAAAGGTCAATATTCTAATGATGATTTTATGCCACTCTGAACACTATCCTAGCTCACCAAATATAAACAACTACATTATACTACCAATTCTATGTACCTGTGATATCAGGTATTTTTCCAAGAAGCTCTCAACCAGAGTAAGCTTACAAAGCACTAGCAGTGAGAAAGAATATTAAATCCATACTGCTGCCAAAATGATTATGTAAAATTCTGGCTCACACCATGATCTCTGGATTAGCAAAAGATCTGGTTTGAACCACCTCCCTCAAACAGCCGATTCAGTCAGGTCTATTTATGGGTAAATCCCAGGGTACAGTAAAGACAAGTCAATACCAACCCTTAGGCAATGGAAAGCCCAACACCTCCCCCAAACCAATTATGCAAATTATTTTTTCTTTTGACTGTATACACCTGAAAACTGAGACGACAGCCAGAAGAAGCATTAATCAAATACTAATCTTCCTCAGTACGGGCTGTGCATTATACTGTACAGTACTGGTTAAAGAAATCTGGAGAAAAGACATCAGAAGAAGTTAACATAAATTTCTAGGAGAATCTCAGCCTAGCATTAAAACTGCTTTTCAGATACTTACAATACATTTGATTCTAACCCTTTACCAAGAGGAAGAATGAAAATTAACTTGTAATATTGTATAACAGGTGTCGAATTACCATCAAAATGGGCTACCTATTACATTTTAGGGGATTTCACATGTTTTGCTTTACAAAAGTGCTAAGATATGATTAGTGAAAGGGCTCATCATTGTTTTATTCTGAAAAAAAAAGGTGCAAGGACAAAATAGCTTTGAGGTACCATGACCTTTCATCTAAAGATTATAAGATGGGGACTTAGTATTTCTATTTTAATGGCCTACATAATCTTAATAAAGGTGTCTGTGTCCATAACAACACACTGGCATTTCTGTGTTAACCCCGGTATCCTGGCCAAATTCACTCCTGGCCTTTACGAATCATGGCCTCTTAACAATCCCCAGCTATGAACTGGCTTCATTACACTTCTTCTGGCATGTCCAGAAAAGGGCAACATTAAGTATAAGGAATAATAATAATAACAATAATAATAATAAAGTAGGGCACCTTATATCACCACCAAAGCACACCACAGCACAGCCATTTCAATTAAATAATGGTTTAAAAGTAAAATATGAAATTTAAGTAGTAAATGTGTCACCAAATCAGTTTAACTACAAATAATGTAAACTACTGTAGCTAAATAGCTACATTCAATTAAATACAACAGTAAATATATATTTTTTTTAGATTAGAACAATCTGAGTGCTTTAGTTTTTAGACACAATGTGTCTTTTCCTGGAATTCCTAAAGAAAGCAACAGACAAGATAAATTCATATCTTTTTAAGCTTATGAAGCCAGGACTGCAGTGCCCTCTGTTAAACAGTTTCTTCTCCTTTCTCCATCTACACAAAAGGTTTAGGGGGTATAGAACAGGCTATCCAGTCATGTTGTTGAAGCCGACATCCTTGTTTCTTTAAGAAAAAGCTGTATGAGATCTTTGTATCTATTAGCCGTTAACTACCAAATGGGCTAAATGGGCTGAATAGCATCTTCTTTAATTCTCATAACTGTAAGACCGTTGCGAAGCCTTTTCCCTTCCCTTACTACATGTTCTTTGGATGATCTTTAACAGAGTTTTAACAACTCAGAAGAATTGAAAGGCTTCGGAGAAGATGGAAAGACTATAAAAAACTCATATTCTTTCAACAAAATAGTTACAAAGTTCATTCATGCATATCACATTTACCACTTACATAAAGTCATTGTATTATTTTATTAGCTCTATTGAGATAACTGTTATATGTTACTGTTCTCAGAGAATATGATCACTATGTAACTATCACTTGATCACAGGACTTATTTCATACCTAAGCTCTACACTGATTCTGGTCTTGTAATGTGATTTCCACATATTAGCCATTTGCTTAGGGATAGATTCCATGCATTTGTCAGTTCTTGCTAAAAGATCTAAAATGTAATTATTAAAAGATAAGAAAAAACATAACATATTCTTAGAGGAAATTCCAAATCCAAAAATGTAGTAATAACTTTATAACATTCTCAGTTGAATGTCAAGCTCATAAATATATGAATATATATATGAATAAAATTGATTTAAAATAATTATATTGTATAACATCCAAAATTAAAATTACAGACATGCATCTCCATATTCTACAAATACTATGCAAATTCATTCAAATTTACCTTCTGACTTCAGTAACCAGTTTGGCAAAAGGTTGCTCCCAGGCATACATCTTAATTATTCGGATTCCAGACACAACCTCATTCATTGTGCGTATTCTGTTGTCAGTAAAAGCAGCTGTTTTACTCCTACAAGAAAAAATAGTTTTAAATTCTCATGGGAATTACCATCATTCAAGTGATATAACCACAGAAAATAAAATACTGTTGTTTTTCCCATTTCACTTCAGAGATCCAAAAACAGAAGCACAAGGACACTTTCATTTTAGAGAATGAAGGATTGTTTTCAAAAATGTTTTAAGGTTTTATGTATGAACAATCTCATGCTTACATATTAAAGTCACATTGTGACAAATTAGAATATCTAAGGGCAAATGAAACAGATCAGATTTTAAAATGAAATAAACACCTTACCATAGTGTTTTTATTTTACATATCTATACTTTTAAAAACAAACCACTTCCATTTTAAGCATTTCTGGATAAAAGGCAGCACATTAAGATAAGAGTAGAATTTAAAGGAAGGTTTTTAAACTGCAGTTTTTTTGCCAGTGTTGCTGGCACGTTAACAATAGTGGCCGCTGCAGAAGGAAATAATCAATTTCTGAAAAGTCTGAAATCAAATGTATTGAAATCTGTGATCTGAAATTTTAATAAGGCATCCTATTCTAAGGATGATTCTAAGGCAGTAATGAATGTCAGCACTTCTCACACATACTTTTAGAAAAAAAACAAGCCTACACATTTACAGTTTGTGTTCATTAGGTTTAAATAAAGATATCATTCCCCTTTACCACATAGCATCTGTGCTGCTACTGTCTACAGGAGTCCACCTAGGAGCAAGCCAAGAGCGTAAACCTTGAGGAACCAAATCTAACTTCTGCAAAATGAGAAGACAGGGACAGGACCCATGCTGGCTAGTTATAAATACTGAATGTTAACCTCTTTAAGTAGGAAGAACACAAGATGCTCTCGTTCTTGTTCTTTTGACCAATCTCCATTCCTCAACCCCAGAAGTCACCAGGTGTCCTGATATTATGGACCTAAATGTCAAACATCGGTTACTATAACAGATGCCATATACTGTAACGGTAGAACAAATTACCTCAGGGAGGAGAACAGCCGACCAAAAAAAGTTTGCAAAGGCATCAAGAAAACCAGGACCGCCATGCCTGCGAGGCAAGATGGGCCTATCTCATACCATAGCAGTGTTATCACAGCCGCAGCTTGCAGTGGGCCCACCCATAAAAAGTGCAAAAAAATGGTCACCTGAAAGAAAAATAGCATTAAAAACATGTCAGCTATAAGGGGAACATGCATTGGTGTGCATCCTACATAAAGAGTATCCCTTATTCCCGGCATATTTGTATAATAAATTTCATGTTTCATCCCTCAAGAGTATTCAATCACCTCAATTAATTATGTATTACTGGGAATCTTGGGCTGAAGAACATTTTGTTTCTCAGTTGAAAAACCCCCACTCCACCCATGAAAATTAAAAATGTTGGATTCATATTACCAAGTTTAAGATACGGCAACAAAAGTAACATTTCAGCTGTGAAGTTGTCTTCTTCAAAAAGAAGTCCTTAAAATGTTAATTAATGCTTAAAATTAAAACGGAACTTTAATAAAGACAACTCAATTTCTTTTTAATTCAAGTTCAATATCATTATCATTTAAATAAGTCTCAACTTCCTTTCCCCAAAGGCTCAAGAACCATGACCTATGTGAATCAGTGTAAAACTATTTTACACATAGCAAACCTTGTTAGGATAACAACTGCAACACAATAGTAAAATGATCTGCATATGATTTTGCATAATTTTGCATTATATAATAAAATAATCATTATGTTTTGTGAGAAGACATTAGATTAAGACAGGATGGAGATTCCTAGGTTAAAGGGGGGCTAAGACTTGTTTTGCAGTGTTGGTTAATTTAACCTCATACTGTAAATAAGACCACTTTCTGTTACCTAACAGCTTTTTTTTGTTGTTGTTGTTGTTTCTGTTCACACAAGAATGGTACTATTTTTTAGCCAGAACTTGTGGATATGGAATTTTTTTAATAAAAAGACTCCGTCACAAAAAATACAAGTAAATGTAATCTTAAGGCCAAAGGGGTTCACATTTTATGGATTCAAAGTCTTAAGACTAGTAGCCAGTAGGATGTTTGTGGTGTCGATTAGTTATGAATATTAAGTGGAGACTGGCTTCCTGTGTAGTCCAGTCAGGGAAAATTCCTGGAACCTTTATTCAAAACCCTCATCAGTTGACTATTAACGTCCTTTTTCACATTTTCAGCCTAATCCTAGTACCAGCAACAGCATTTGTTTTCATACCATTTCCACCCCATCTTTTGGATGAGTGTTAAACCGAGGTCCTGACTGTCAGTGGTCATTAAAGATCACCAGGCATTTCTCAATAAAGGTAGGAAGTTATCCCGGTGTCCGTGCCAAATTTCCCCCCTCGGCCTTTACCGTGGCCTCCAAATAGTCCCCATGTATTATTGGCTTTCACTTGCCCTGTGATGGACTAGTGCCCCATCTAGGGCGTACCCTGCCGTGCCCTCTTTCTTGCCGGGTAGGCTCCAGCTTCCCGCAACACCGTATGGTATAAAGCAGTTTAGATGTTTAAATGACATGACTATTTCCACAATTCAGAAGAACTATCCTGCGATTCTCACAAATCTGCAGATCCATGAAGAATTTCTTCCCTATTATTAAATTAAACAGGACAGTCAGTAGTAAAATTAGGAACATACCTCATCAAACCTAATAACATCATTGGATAACAGGTTTACTATCTGGCCAGTGGTTGTTTTTCCCAATGCACTGCTACTGAGGCAGAGTGCCTGGAAATTTGAAAAAAACAAGAAAGCAATAAATGCTTAATATTTTCATATTTTTACAACATCACTTTCCCCACATCATTTAAAAAATAACTTAAACAACAAGATTTCCCCCCCCAATATATCTATTGTTTCCAAGTATTTGTACCTTCATAATTAATGAATTATATGATAACTTTATGTCCTTTAGTTCTCAATTAATTTCTGCACATTTGAAACAATTAAAGCACTTGTAAAGCAGGTCAGATATGACATACATTTGCACTTCATCTTTTTATTAAGAAAATGGAATATTTCTATGTAAAGTTAGGGAGTAGTAATTGTAGGTAATAATCTCCAGAAGGCAGTGTGTTGCAGTGTAAAGGGTTGTTGCTGAAGAAACATTCATCGGTCTAGTGACAAAAGAGATTATGTTTTCAATAAAATGATTAATTTACCGAAGTTAGCAATCAATTATTTTTCCACTACATCCATGCCTAATGTATAAAGCTACTTTTTAAAAAAAAAACATTATAAAATCTTCATAACACCACATCCGTTTTTCTCCTGTATAATGTATTCCTTTTTATACTACTGCCTTTAAAATAACACCCCTACTAATTACCAATTTCAGTCTATAAAAAACATGGCATAAGCCAAACCTGTACATCAAAATACCTAAATGCAATAACTTGGATTTTTCTTACAAAACACAATTACTTTTAATATTCTATGTTAAATACATTATTATTTATATACTGCTCAATCAAAAACATGTATACTGTATACAGTATACTGCATATGGTTGAAAGAAAAGAAGCAAATTCATTCATATTTGGATATCAAGCATGATGAAAATATCCTTTTTGAAAATGGGAAATCTTTCACAAAACAAGTTGCCAGTGACCCAATGAAAACCTCTTCTGAGAACAGATATAGCCTAGCTATAGATTTGTGCTGATCACTTACCTTTTTAAAAATCATATGGCACATTGCTACTCTGATTTTCATTCCTGCTCTTTGAACATGATAAAAATACAAGTGGTGCAGCAGTGCCAATCCAAACGTACAAAGAGATACACCAGCAGCATACCCATAGGCTGCATAGAGAGCATCCATGTTATTAGGGTCAAAGCCCTCAAAATATTGAATTAATTTTCCTAAAAGAACTGGCTGAAATATTTTTATTACCTCCTGCAAGAAATAACAGGAGAAAAATATTAGAGATTTATGAATAATAATTGAAAATGGCAGTAAAAACAAAAATGTATTCTTACAGCTATAGATGACTAGGAATGGTCTCTAAGTGATAAAGTGTGTAACACTTGGCAGTGTAAACATTCCCAGCTTCAAACCAGAGGGGATGTTTGCTGAGATGTAGGGGGTCCCCTGATCAAAAATAATTAGAATGTACACCTTGGTTTACCAGACCAGATCGTATTATACTCTTATTATATAAGATTATATTAAGATGACAGAGGAGAGAAGAGAGGAGCCAGGAGGAGTTGAAACATAAAGCTTGCACCAGGTGAGAGCCCCTGCTACATGATCATCCAGGCAAAACCTGAATGGAGCTAGATATTTGAACCCTGCTAGAGTGAGCTTGCTATTCTGTGTTTATACGGAACTTGGGTTTCCTGAATAAAACACACCCAGGGTAAAGACAGTCTTTCCCACTTGTGAGTGCATTTTTCAAATAGAGAAATAGTCTCCTATTTATTTTCCGACATGCAGGCTTACAGAGAGATATATTAAATGGCCAATTGTATTGCATTTATTAAGAAGGCAGCATATCTCTTATTTTGGCCTCTGAAGGCATTGTTTAAGAAATCAATACTCAGTAGCAGTCTCAGGTTTTCTGGTTGATTAGGATGTAAGGCCTCTACAACGCCTTGTGTGAACACACTATAAATATAGTAACTTGTGTGTTGTATGTTTTGCCGTGTGTAGTGTTTGTATTGGCATCGTTAATAAATATTTGTTTAACCAAGTGCCTGAATTATTACTCTCTTCATCAAAGCTGTGCCAGATAAATAATTCTCGTGCCTCTAATTATACCAACCTCTCTGGTATATTCTAAAGAAATCACTTACAAGTTGGTGGTTCTGAATATTTATTTTACTTATTGACTAAACTGCCCAGTCAATTCATGATATAAACAAGTTGCTTAAACCCCCATTTGTAACAATACTGTATATATAAAGTACAATGGCTTGAAAAAACAGGTAAGTTGACTTGAAGAACAGATTGTATTGCTGCTGAGCCTTTGCTGAAGTGCAGTAATTGTCTAAGATTATTAGCCTCAATCTTGTCTTTAGCACATGCCTAAAAGTTGTCAGGGCTGAGTGAACCGATCAAAAAATATTTTGGTTATATATCACGATAAAAATATGAAACATTTAAAAAAGATATGATGGTATGACAGCAACTATCATTTATCTGAGAAAAAAAACACATTTATTGTAGCCTTCTACCATTATCTGATTTCTATGTGACGTGGTGTTGTGTCCATGCACTGTATCTGTTGGTTTAGGAGTTTAATTTTTTGTAAGCAAAAAAAGTAAGACTTTAGCAAGGGCTCTTTCCGGTTTTATCTCAGTGATCCAAATTATAGTATTTACAAAGTGTATTTTATATGTTCTCTTTGAAAGTGTGCTTTAGCTGCCTGTGTAGAGTTCATCTATACTTAAAATCGGAAATCTAAACTTAAAACAGTAAAGATCTGCATATTACTATACCTTTTTGTATTCACAGACTAACCCTGGATTTAATCTGTATTGTTCCATAAAATATACATTTATTCTTTATATTAAAGTTTTTTTCGGGGATATTCATCTGTCTGCAAAGAGCTTGGAATTACGACAAATTATATTGGCAAAACAAATACATGAAAATAATGTATGAAACAAAATCCTGTATTCACATTAGATAAAGGCTGCCATGTTTTAACAACTGCAAACAAACATACTTTTATAAATACATTATTAACCTAAGTTTTGATTTGTATGAAGACTTTCAGTCTATATCATTATCATGACACACATTTTTAGACCAAGGAAAACATATGTCCCTATAAGATCCGCAAATTTCTCAAAATGAAAGTGACTGTATTTGAGATGCTACATAATGACACAAAGAGCCAATATAAACTGGGTTATTTTTAATCAAAATTCTTAATAAATATAGGACCAAATTCAGTTCCAATACAGAATGCAATAGCCGGCAATATCACAATGTCATAGTACAGAAATAAAATAAAGACACAAAAGAATAATTCTGAAAGTTTATGAAGTGATAAAAATGTAGCATTAAATGTTATTGAACAGCTACACAAAGACAGATATGGTATTAAGAAAGCAGAAAAAATGGTACGTTTACCTCTATTAAAGTAAAGACCCCTAAAATAGCATAGGATTTCCAGTAACATTTCACTATGGCTTTGGTCAGCTTTGGTTCCTTAAGTTCTTTTGCAGCCTGTTGCATTTCTTGATTCCAATACCTGAAAGACACAGGGCAATTAAAACAATGTTGTAACAAATGAATGAAATATGTTCTGCATCACAAGACATCAGCGCATCACATTTGCTTTGCTAACAGTTCAACGCGTGTTCCCAAAGCTCATCTTAGACCACTGCCATTTATACCTCGCTGTTATTGTGAAAGACTTTTTTAAACACACGCCATGGTCTGTGCAACCAGCCCTTTTATTGGTTTAACCATTATTACCAGATGTCTTTAGTCATTGTATTTGCTAACACCCATTAAGTTTTATACACAATATATTTCAATAATTCAGCAGTATCCCCAAAGCCATGATGACACAATATAGCAATACCATGTTTATCTCTCTACATCAGAATCAGAATCACCTTTATTCGCAAAGTACATATCATGTAGAAGGCATTTACTCAGATATACTTGGTGCTGCAAAGACACTCAATGTATACCATAAACAAAGAAGAATATCGGATACAATATTATTAAGACAGTGCACAAATAACTCAAAATTCTAATTAAGAAAAAAACTCCCTATGAAAATGTTCAGAAATGGGCAGTTCTGGTTTTAATAGATAGCATCTTTCAGAGGCAAGTTTATCAAACAGGTGGTAACCTCGGTGGGAGGTGACATCATCAATATTTAATTCCCTCTACTTTAATGTGGAATTGTACAAAACATCAATGGAGGGCAAATGACAGCCAATGACACTCTCCGCAGAGAGGGCAACACACACTGCATTGGGACCAGCCAGATACACTGCCTAACCAAACATTTATAGAGGCAGTCAGAATGCCCTGTAAACTGTATTAGAATTGGTTTAGAGATAAAAGTTTTTTTAGTTTGCACAAAACATACATGCTTTGCTGTGTAACTCGATACCACATCTACCACTCGATACCACATGATACCACATGTAGGCAGGGAGGTTTTGCTGAATTTTTCCAGAAATCACTATTTCCACATTTTAAGGGTATTAAGCTGCAGCTGTTTGTAAGCATACCATGATACTCATCAATAGTAAAGAAACCTCCGAAAGGTGATGTTATCTGCAAACTTAGTCTGACAGAAGAGGTGCTGGAGGTGCAGTCATGTCTATACAGGAAACAGAGTAATGGGGAAAGCATACACCTACGAAGTACACTAGTATTCACAGACTGACAAATAAGGACCTAGTCGCACCTGTTGTCTTCAGTGACAAAGTTGAGATATCATCTATACATTCATCAATGCGGTCACCTGTCTCATGGAAGACACTCCAGTCTGTTGAGTCAAAATGTTCCTCAGTGATTTCAGTGGTCCAACTTTGAGCTGGTTTCTTAATTCACTTAATTTTATTAGCCTTTAAGTTATTAGTTTCTTAATTTCAGTTTATGTTTATATGTAGGTATTAATTGAACAATAGCATGATCAGAATTTCCCAGTGGTGCACGGTGGAAAGCATGGTATGCTAGAGCAGTGATTAAGGGTTCTCATTTCCCTAATTTAACAATGAATTAGCTACCATTAATAATGGTAGTATCTGAATGTTTTTTCTCTAGTTCCCTAGTTCTGAAATTTGATCATCTTGCAATTGCTGTGCTGACTGACCGTGCATTAGCCTGATGGGAAATATATATTCCAGCCAGAATAACAGATGCAAATTCTCTGGGAGAATAGAAAGGTTTGAGGTTTACAGTATATGCAGCAATTCCAACAAAGGAGAACAATTTTTGGAAAGAAGAGTGACGTTACACCAGCTGTTGTTCACATAAAAACACATGCTGCTACCTTTAGATTTATCGTTGAGGTTTTCAGATCACAATCTGCCCTAAATGGCTGACAGCCAGGTAACTCCACTATTGAATGAGGAGTGGAGGTTCCAAGCCACATTGCAGTGAAACAAAGTGATGAAATAAGTGATTAATCCTGGTTTGCCCAGACAAGTAGTTGTAGCTCTTCAATATAGGCAAACTATGAACTGTAAGGCTTCTGTCATTTGAAACTAAGCAAACACTCCTTTTGAACAGAACTGAGGGAGGTATTAAAATTGTTACTTTTCAATTGTAACATGTAGTACCTTTATTATTAATTTAGTTTCCAAATTAATTTCACCTTCCTGTCCAAGATGATTCCTGTGTATTCCATGGCTCCAAGCTCTGAACCTCACAGTCTGGACCTCACATTTTAAGCATTTTTTTAAATCATCAAAGGCTGAAGGATGTAGAAGGGCTTAGACGGGGAAAACTAGCCTGTTCTGAAATGGAGACTCAGTCCCACGAATAAACTCAATGGTCCAGTCAGACCTTAATTGGATTAATTTAACACTTCTCTCAGGAGAAGTGCTGTTTATAAGTTAAAGAGACCTAGAAAACCTGTTGGATTCAGCACCATGAGAACTGCACTTGGGAACCTCAGATTTATACCCTGTTTCTCCTAATACTTCCTTATACTCGAGACTCACTGTGAGAAATATCCAGATCACCAGTTAAGTATTTCGGTATCTAATAAAGTGTGTTCAGACAATTTTACATCTAACTTGACATATCCTGTATCTTATTTCTATGACTCAATCTGACATGTCACCTGACACCTTTATGTAATGCATAGAGGTATTTGTTAATAGCCCATTCTTAACCTGAAAACTTCTTGGTTGAAAGATTCAAAAGTTCGAACAAAACAATTAGCAAATACCAGGATTATAATAAACATTAACAAATTGCTGAAAACTTTGTAAGCATTTTTTTCCAATTAAGAATGAAAATGTGCATGGCCTACATTGCTTTTATTGTGAATAAACTTCTAAAAATAACCTTGGCCAGGAAAAGAGGATATTTACTTCTTAAACATATTTCACTGGCCAGCAGAATGAAAACTATTTACAAATGTTTTTTTATTTTAAAAAAGGGCTTAGAAGGGGATAAATAGCCTGTTCTGAAATGTGATATAAATCACAGCTAAGGCATGGGAAAACTCAAAAATGAACAACTGTCAATTTGCATCTTTCATTAGGTAAGAATTGTAGCTTTCATTTATTTTGAATAAGAGACAGGGGAAAGAAGTGTATCAACATCAACAACACTGCTTGTGTCCTCTAAAAACTAAAGAGAAGTGCTTTTAACACTGATAACAGGAGTCAATTGTTTTACAAAGAGTCGGGAGAGTCTGCTGCAAGCATGTTGTTGATGAAGATGAGATCCGTGGATCAATTAGCTACTAGCAATCAAATAAACTGGAGGGGCTGCAGGTTTCCTGATGTTTACAATCTTTCTTATATTCTTAACACGAGATCTAATACGACAAACAGAAGAACAGACATGTTTCATAAAAAAAAGAGATTCAGCTCTCTCAACTCTTCCCATCTTTTAATATTTAATATTTAATGTGTTTTGGTTTCTACTTCTGAGGAAACACATTAGCAAAATCTCTGGACACTGAACTAGAAAGACTGGCAACAATACAATGAAAAAGAAAGCATTAAAAAGTTGATCATATACACATGAATTCTGCTGCCTTTATCAGCTGTTACCAGTGTCAGTTTATAGAAACTAAAGAGCAAGGATAAAACCTGTTTTATACTCTTTTTCATCTACGACATACATTATATACTGTAAATTAATGTACCTGTAAGATGTACAGTACAAGGACAGATGTGTAAACATTTAGACATACCAGTGTAGTTCTTCACCAAGCCTCTCTGACCCATCTTCTGGTAGCACTTTATACATGTCATCTTCTTCCAGCCTTCTTTTGTAGCCAATTCTAAATAAAGGATTCAACCAACTACAAATCAAGAAAAAAAAAAATAAGCCAGATCTTTCATTTTGGAAATGTAGAGAAAATGTGCAGCATTATGATACAGCTATAAGCACTCCTGGGTCTTGTTTCATTCAAACATATGCTGTTTTGGTTTACTGGCATCTCTAAACTAACTGACCCTGTATGTTTGTGCATGTGTGATTTATGCGATGGACAGATGTGTCATCCAGTAGCTTCCAGGTTAGCTAATAATGGATGGATATACAGCATACATCATATAGTTATACTTGGATAGAAAAACAATACTGATTACTGCTAGTCATTACAAATGCCAAAAAGGATGTAACGCTCCACACAAGAAGAGAACATCACGTTTATACCAATAAATCACTGATTCATTCACATTTCAAGGTTAATTTCAAAGTTATTTATTGAGCTATGTTACTGCTAAAATACTTTCTTTTAAAAAAAGAAAAAAAAACATCAAATTGATTGTGTAAGTGCTTTGACAACATAATGAACAGTCTATGTAAATTTTCCTTTTCCATTAACATTATTAAAATGCCTGAACTCTATAATTTGTTTACATTTTTTTAATCCAAGTCTTTCTTAAAGTAAATGAATAGGCCCCTTAGTTCAAATGTTTTTTTGTTTTTACTACTTAAGAAGTAGAGGTTTTATGTTTTTACCATAAATAATTGCAATTATGCAATTTAAACCATTGAAAGCATTATTTCTTATATCTAAAATAATATAATGAGTAATCTATTGCAAGCAAAATATTAAAAGCTTCCAAAACCAAAACAGTTTATTTTAAACAGTGGTATTATCATCCTGCGATTCCTGGTAACTTCTCTGGAATCCTGTTACTGGAATCCCTACCTCTGGCACATCACCAGCCATTGTGCTTTGGTCAACAGACAAATCAGTGAGAAAGGAAAGAAAATAAAAAACCTGTACTACTGTGCAGTGTTTAGCCATTCATAAACCTCCAAATCCTGACTGAAATGTTTTAACTCTTTATGGCCTGAATATTTGAGTAATAACCTAAGAACTGCTCATACAGTGCTCATACAGTGAGACATTATTCAAGTGTGGCTCTTTGGAAGACAAATTCAGGCCAGTATCCACCTAGATTCTGCAGTCGTAATCACTACTCACTGAAATTCCTTTCTATCTTACCCTTTGAAATCCAGATTTAGAGTTCACAGACTTTTTCTGCAGGTGAGATTTTCAAGTCCCAACAAGACATACAATGTTAATTTGCAATTCCAACACCCGCGTAATGATGAAAAAAGAACAGTAACACTACAGGCAAGTTTGGAAGGCTTCCAAACAAATCTCTAACCATTTAAACGGTGAAAGTGAACTTCAACTAAACTAAGAGAAGACCCAGATTAGCCTGTTTGGAGTTTGAGAGGAATGTTACTACCTTCCACCCCCACAATCTCCTCCAAATGACACCATATTTTGAATTATAACTAATATGTCTTGGCAATTTTCACACTTTTTCCAGTTATTTTGCAAAGGTGGTGAATATTTATGAAATCATATAGATTTTAGTTTTTTATTTTTCTTTGCCGATTACTCTGACTTATAGCCTAACTTTTTGTCCATAAAAGTGTTTTTTTATACTTCTATAATTACTTCTACTTATACAACAATAGGAATTCAACAAATTAGGGCTTCATTGGAAGGCGGTTAATAATTTTGCAAGGGACAGTAGAAGTAGTCCAGGAACTGCCTGAAAGTCTTAATAAAACAACTGAAAAAGCTGAACAGATTTGGAACATTAAATGATGTAAAGAGTTACACTCTATATAGGAAAATCATTAATGGTATTTAGTACTGAGAAATCTCACTGGCTAAGCATAATTTTCAAAAACTGACTTGTGGTACTAAGCTGTCCAGAATTCACTGTTCCACCATTAGGAAATCCAAGAAATTCATGAAATCATGAACTGACAGAATTCACCATGGTACAGAGTTAGCACATGTTTCTGTCATAGCCTCAAACCTTTTCCATAAACAGACGTGTTCCCTAACTGGAAATCCCAAATGCACATCCAGTAACACAAACACAGCTACACCTGACTCATACAGTAGCAAAAGAATGTTCTTACCAGCATCCTCAGAGTATTAAAAATACAAAAAACACTTTGCATTTTCATACTGACCTAAAACTTAAAAATACTGTATACAAAAGCTGAACATCAGTAGCCAGTGTAAATTATTAGACTGTTTTAGATCATTATTTCATAATAGCCTACAGGAAGTACAATTTCTTTGAAGCAGTGTACAAAATGCCATTGTTATGATTTCCTATTTATACAGATTGTTAGGGAGGGGGTATCAAAGAAAACACATAGAACATGTAAACTGTGTGTCAGAGTATCCATTTCTGGCCTATGCTGAGGAGTTTCTCCTTGTCCTCTGCACAGTTTTAAAGTGTCAAACACAGCCTGTCAACATGTAGTCTACACCTCTGTTCATTATGGTTTTGGTATAGCACCTTTCACTTAAATTGTACAAAGAAAAAAAAAATGTTATTTAGGAAGACAAATATTATGCAGAACTGAATGGTAAAAAATATCACACCAAATAGGCTAATTATTCTTGTTTCCTATATAATGCTCTACCTAAAGTTACATCTTTTTTGAAAGAATTTATACAGTTTATGTTTTGCTTAACACAATAGTGTATAGCTAACATTCACATGGAATCAACATTTTAAAATTAGGGTTTAACAAATGTTACGACCCCAAGTGTCTAGGGGTAAAGGGGTGTAAAATTTAGGATAATTCTTTTGGAAGCAGGTGGGTTTGGTGAGGGACTAGGAAGCGTGATAACAAGGGTAAGGAACTACAGTGGTGCCAAAGAAAAGAAAATAACAAACAAAATGGAGCTGGCTAGGACAGTGAGGGAAAGCTAACCTAACTACAAAAGAAAACCGGAAACACACAGTCTTCGGCGTCTTCAACACCCTAACTAACCTCCACTGACTACCCAAAACCATACAAGACAAATGGCACTCACCCGTACTAAACTAGTGTTACCAACACAAAATCAACAAAATCGATTCAGTAACTAGAATATACCCTACAACAAGTTCACACAAAAACACAAATGAACTAGTAATACAAATAACGAAAATGAGAGTAATCAACAGGTACAAAAAACACAAAAGCTGAACATATAACACATTAGGGCAAGGTAATGGCAAAACAAGGATAAACACAAACGAAAGTACAAAAAAAAACCAACAAAACAAAAAAACTGGTGTCTGCGTGTGCCCCAAGATGTACTGATGTTCTGTCCAGGGTGAACCCTGCCTTTCGCCCATTGCTTGACAAGACAGGGTCTGGCTCTCCCACGACTCTGAACTGGAAGAAGTGATTAGAAAATGGATGCATGATCAAGAACAAAATGTAGATACGGTATTATTTAAAATGAACACATCTGAAACTCAATCACAAATCTTAAATAAGTGCCCAGCTCCTACCCGATTTTGTTTGATAAAAATCCAGCATCTCTCAAACCTGAAATCGACCAAATATTTATATAGTGATTGATCCTCTGTGACAGGTGAACTATGTGATGCTGATTTCTAATGAGTGAAAACAAATCATGGTACAAACTAAAATGGTGGAGAAAACTCAATTAGTGGAAATCAAAATATGGCCAGATTAAAATGGAAAAGACAGCACACATTAGCTTTCTTATCAAGTTCCCAAGCAGTCATAATACCAGAAGCTTTCAGTAAACGTACTGTAAGCAGGTGAAAGCAGGGGTAGTGAGAGCAGCAGAAGTATACAGTAATCTCTCGCTCAACAAATTTTTATTTCATACAAATGGAGCAATTCTTACCTGTCTTTTCATTTAACAAGCAAATGTTCACTCTTACAGGCTAGAGAAGAAATAAAGGATACTTTTTCTCTGTCATCTTCTCAGATGAGGAATTAACTTTTTATTATTTATTATATTAAAACTATTTTATAATAAAGGCTAGTGTATGTTAGGCACATATAGTTCAGGATGTTTATGCATTTGCTGAACATGAACAATGTAACAATGTTAGTACTGTATTGTAAATGATAAATTATAAATTACATCAAGCATAGTTAGTCAAATAATTAACCAGGAGTGTTAGTTTCCATTCTCAAGTACCATTCTGTGCTTTAAGGTGAAGATAGGGTATTTAAGGGAAACTTTTTTTGAGTTCTACTATCAATTAGAGACGATAACAAAGGAAGTAATGGGAATTTCCATTACATGACTTTTCACCTTACAAGCCGTTTTTGAGGAACAAATTAAGATAGTATAATGAGGGATTACTGCACTCTGCTTATCTACACAAACAAGGTTCATACCATATCACCTTTATGTTTATTACTAGATCTTGCTCTTGGTTTGGTTTTAATTGTGTGCAGAGGAAGGTATAACAAAGTTTTTGGTTCTGCTATTTCTTCCTAATCACATTTCAAGCCAAACTACTAAGTCAAGAGAAAAATTAGACCTGTCATGTTTTTCTCCTTTGTAATGTACATAATCTTTACACAGAGTTTTTACACATTAACATTTGCCCTTTTATACCAGTAGATGGATCATACATGAGCTCCTTGCACATGTTTGTACTAACAGAAATGTGAAGAGAGGAAACGAGGAGGCAGGGCTACGTCTCTTCTACAGTGTCAGCTGCATTTATACAGCCAATATAGTTACAGTATACCACATGTAAACATAAAAGCAGGAGTTTGTCTTCACTTGGTTATGCCACCAGTTATATAACTATAATTTAGACAAATTAAAACAAAGCCATGTCTCAAAATAAAAGACATTCAATTCCAAAGTCACTAGTTTCACTTAAAATGTGAAAGTTATCTTTTGTAACTCCTAAAATAGTGCTCTAATCATGCTCCAATATGAAAAATACAGAATGAGAGAAGATAATGGGACAATGGATTCCCTAATACTGTATATGACAAAGTCGTGTGTCCACTCAACAGTTTATTTTTCCTGTTTCACTGGCTAGCAAAGCAGGGTCATCAAATCCTAAATCATGTATAACTGAAGAGTCACAACCTTCAACAAACTACTAACAAGTACTACAAAATTGGAATTACAGGTTTGTAGTAAAACAAGATACAACACAGATGCATCTGTTTTTACAGTACACCGCAACTTCCGACAGAGTGGAACTCATGTAAGAAAGGCAAGGTACTGTACATTTCTGAAAATTAGAGATTAATTTACCAGCCACAAACAATGTGATGTGATGTAGCCACTATCCTACTCCGTTGGGCTCCTGAGCAAGGCCCTTAACCCCAGCTGCTCCAGGGGTGCCGTACACTGGCAGACCCTGCGCTCTGACCCCAGGCTCTCTCCCTGTCTGTGTGTCTCATGGAGACCAAGCTGGGGTATGCGAAAAGATCATTCCTAATGCAAAAAATTGTAAAGTGATGTTAATACTACTACTACTACTACTACTACTACAGACCCAATACACAGCTAATCAGGTGGGGAAATTAGAAATAAATTCAACAACTGAATTTAGTGAGAAATTTAAGGAGGCTAAATTGTACAAGCCCGGAGTGAAATTTAGCCACTTCATTTAACATCCCTACTCTTACAGACAATTCCATAAGATCTTTAATAACCAGGTATTCAGGATCTTCATTTGACAGGTTATCTGGGACAATGTCCTCTATAGCAGTGTCCCCTGTCACTATCTTTGTCATGTTTTAGTTTCTGCTAATACCACTAATGTCAGCAAACTGCTTCTATTCTCAAAGTGCTCCAGTTCCAGCACTGACCAGGACCATCTTTCAGAGATCTTAGCCTGAAGATCCTTTGAGATGAGAAGTGTTGTACAAAAGCAAGGAATTATGTTCTCTCTTAAACCGTCAAATACTATTTGGTTATTATCGGCAGATAAAATTAAAATAATACTGGTTATGACAATGGAACAAAGTCTTCTAAAGCTTGTCAGTCATATGGTGCACTTGCATATTTTTACAAGAAAATAGGCAAAATACGCTTCCACCCCGCCTAATAGTGAACAGAGAAATTCACATTGCATAGGAGTTTGATCCATTTCAGGTTTTACAAGCTACTGCATCTTACTATACAGAAACCATGAACCAGGATGTGGATATTTCAAGCTTTTTTGCCTATTGTGAGAAAAACATGAAGAACACATTACAACTACTAAAAGTTGCATCAGTATAATGGACTTGCAACTCATAAACCAAAGTACAGAGATGACATTCAGAGTGGCTTTCAAATTCCCGCGGTAGTGTATCCTATTACAGCTGGTAAATTCTCGAGTAGTTTTATAGAAGAAGCGTACGTCTTTTAAAAAGTGCTTCACACGATTGACTTTTGATATAAAGAAAAGCAAACGTACAGGTACATCGTAACACTAAATGTGGAATTATTATTTAACACACCACAGTGCTTAGTTAAACGCACATTTTTTAAATAACCTAATATTCGCTATAACGCTGGAGATACATGTCTATTTCTTTAGTTTTCAAAGCATCTAACGAAAATCACGTTTTCGTGGTTTTAAATAACATGACATTAAATGTTATTAAAAGCACCTATTTCATGTTATCAGTGTTATTATTAAGTTACATTCTATAAAGGTAAGGTTCACTGCAAAAGATAGTATTAAAACTCAATGGCAACACAGCAACCTGTGGATCAACCAACGTACATAAGCAACATAAAAAGCAGAAAGAAAGAAACGACCGGCACAGTAATTACATTTATATTTGTAATTAAATATTTACATTACACCAGTTTTTGTTTAATATTATACATATTGCCGTGAGTGCAGACGTACCAAATACTGCAGTGTCACATGTCACGTGCTCACTGCATATTATTAAGGAAACCCTCTGTTAAGACGATGCTTATACATTTCGATTAAGTTTTTTTTAACCAATTAGCTTTGTAAACTTCTCAATCATACAGTTTTTATATCATTTTTAGCTCTTATTTGGTTTTTGTCTCTTTTCAGTGTAGCTGATGTACATTACACGATAAAACCACCGGCTCCAAACCTACAGCTTCCAAAACTAAAAACGGAAACTTCCGTTACAGTAACAAAAAAGCCTCTGTATGGATTTACGGCAACAAAGAAAACCAGAATATAAGAGAAAATACGATTTGTTCTACTTCCTTTCTAGTTTAATCGCCCTCTTACCAGAAAAAAACCTTGGAAAACAGATTAGCTGTGGCCGATGGATTAGGTTTCTCATCTTTCCGCAGAGGTTCCATCGTGCCCTAGCACTTTGCTCAATGTCTGCGCCAAAAGGGAAAGGCTGTGGTACTCCTTGTCTGTTTTTTATACCAATGTCTTGTGCAAGATTGTATAACCCCTCTTTTGCACATGGTAATCCAGCTACAACTCTACTGAGTACAGCCTACCCATTTCCAAGACGCGAGACTCACACTGAGACCAGGTTCTGGTTTGCTCCGCCCACGTCTTTCGGATTGGTTTACCAACGCGCCTTGTAATTATAACCGGCAGCACCCCTGATGTCTGTCAAGGTTACTGGATGGTGCAAAGCAAGTAATCTGGTCTGATTTAGCGTGTTCAGTAAATTCAAGTTACGTAGTTCTTCATATTTCTTACTGCAAAACGGAATCTTTCTTTTTTAAAATTTTGTTGTATGCAATAACTAGCCATCAGTCAATTTGCTAACCGCTTCTTCAGGGTCGCAGTGGAGTCAGAGTCTATCCAACAAGCAACGTGCGCAAGGCAGGGTTATAAAATAAGATCACTTTATTGGCCATATACGGTACAATTTCTTGTATCAGGAATTTGTCTTTTCACATACCCCAACTTGCTCTCCACAAGACACACAGATAGGGAAAGAAGCTTGGGGTCAGAGTACAGGGTAACCCATTTATACAGCACCCCTGGAGCAATTGTGGTTAAGGGCCTTTCTCAGGGGCCCAAAGAAGTAGGATTCCTCTGCCAGCCACAGGATACGAACCAGCAACCTTCCAACCACAGGCACAGATCCTTAGCCACAGAGCCAACACCAGTGACCCCAGTCCATTGCAGGTCAGACATACTGACACACAAACACACTCATACTAGGGTCAGTTTTCCCAGAAGCTAGCTAATGTACAAGTATGTCTTCAGACTGTGGGAGGAAACCTACCTCAGCATGGGCAAAAACATACAAACTCTACACAGACAGCACCCCAGGTCCAGAAGTGAACCCAGGGCCTCAGCACTGCTAGATAGCCATGATAACCACTGTGCAATTATTATGCTTCTTCAAACAGTATAACGATGACACAAAACATATGGCCAGTGACTCCAAGGAGTTCGACAGGAGAAAAAAAGAAAAATATCAAAATAGCCAATCTAATCTCTGGACTGAACACCAATTAAGAATACATTTTACATGGTTGAACAAAAATGTAAGCCACAATACTTCAGAATTAACAAGACGTCAAAGTGCCTGCAATAAAGCATCTGAATCAGTTACACAAACAGATTGGTGAGCTCATGGGTCTTACACTTCATGCAGTTATTGCCTCAAAGTGATGTGCAATCACATACAGACTTCTACACTCTAAAAAAATAAAATTAATGATTTCTCTGATTTCTCAGAAATGTGTTCTGCATCCAAGCAGCTATTTTTACAGAGAAACTTATAAAAATGTATGAACAGTACAAATAAACATTACATAAAATAATTCAACCCATCCATAGTCCTTTCTATAGGAATTCACAACTTACAGTACCTGTAAGTTTACTCCACCCACAATCACCCTAAGCCTCTATAATTGTCTATTCACTCTTCATTTTGCACATAACCACTTATTGCATTCTTCCATAACCCTTGACCTACACTCATTTGTTGACTGAGTAGTTTTATTGAATATGGGATAAAGGAATTCTTCATTTTGTTAAGTCTGCATTGAGGAACTCTAAAACATCTGTTTGAAGGCATATTGTATGTTAATATTCTTCATGCAGGACATGGAAGAGATCAGAGGAGATCCTAACAGGTCTTCTCCACACACTCTTAATGTAAGCAGTTTGAAGGCTCTGCAAATGGCTGCCTTACTAACTTAGAATACATCCTCAAGAGTCTGGTCATCTTGGCTTTTTGTTGCACAGAAAGACTATTATACTAGCCAGTTATTCCATTCTGCATGACACTTTGTACCACAAAACTGAAAAACACAGAGTATGACTACTAGCACCAATAGTAACCAAAACCATAACCTGCAAAGAAAGTAAATTCTTTGCTGTACTTTATTACAAAAAAGTCAACATGTACCTTCCAATACAGATTTGCAACTATGTATAGTGTACTGTATTCCCAGATATTAATAGGATGTATCCAATGTTTTATTTGTTATATAATCAAATTTGCTTAATGGAATCATTATAACTTATGACCAGGGAAGGATATCCATTCTGTTTAAGACCAGAGACAATTTCTTCTGTTTTTATAGAATCAATATATTGTTCTGATATATGTTGGAGTCATCATTATCATTCATCAGAGAAAGTAAGGTGGAATCATCAAAAAATGTGTTTAGAAATTGGTTTGAACCACTGGCAACACAATCATTCGTGCAGAAAGTGAAGAGCAGTGGTGAACACATACACCCTTCGAGTGCTCCACAGTCATTTACTTGGAAAAAAGTATACCATTTACAGTACTTTAACTTGCTGCAGTCTTCTTGTAAGGAATGAGTTGTACCAAAAGATCAAATATGGGATGATCTGTAATTGAATCATTTTTGATAATATAATGTCTGGTTGGTTTGTGTTAAAAACTGAAGAAAAGCCGAGAAAAAGTACAGTACTTTAGCAAATAGTTTGCATTTGCCTAGATGCTTTAAAATAAGGTGAATAAAATTAATTATTGCTTCCTCTGTGTTTGCAATTGTTTATAATAATGATATGGATTGAGTTGTCCATTGACTAAGTGAGATTCTGATCCAACATATTTATGGTCATTTTAAATCACTGGGTTGATCACAAAGAACATTTTATTTGTAATGTGATCAAATGTATACATTTACAATAAATACATTTAATTAATTATTTAAAAATAAAATGTATATTGTATTGTACTTACTATTTGTGTTAATTACATGATCACAAACACAAATTGCTTGACTGTTAAGACAAAATAACATAGACGTAATCCCGTTCCATAATTTAATCCCATAGAGATTTTAAAAAATGAAAGATTACCTCAAAAAATGTGTTGTCAAGGTTTAGGAAAGTAATCTGAATCAGCAATGTTTTCCTTATATTACAAATTTAAATGGCTGTGGATGTCTTATTATTTTAGCACCAGTGGCATGTTAATTAAATAAAAAAGATGTATGTTTTACTGCAGCCTTCTGAAAACCACCCACAGCTATGATTATAGTTTCTCATTCTACCAACTCAGTTGTGCCCTGCCCTCTGCTCCCTTTGAGGTTTTTCTTGGCAAGCTGACCAATGACCCAGTTCCATGCATATTAGTGCTGTGAAATGGAAAAAGGCTAGGTCACACTCTTGATGTCTCCTTGCCGGCTGTTTCACAACAGGAGTAGTCAGAAAGGTCTGTTCTGCAGCTGCACATAACAGGGGCGTCTATTTATGCTCACACTATCAGGTGAAAGATTAAGTACTCCTCTTCGCCAAACCAGTAAGAGTAAACCACTGACTTAATCAATAAAAATCCTCCTTCATACTTATTACAACATCAAACGTACCACAAGGGAGAGCACTTTCGCTTAACCGTGTACAATAAACTAGAATTCAAAAAACAAAAAACAAATACAAAAAACTTGAACATGTATCTGCTTTTCACCAAATTCATGCAAAATATATTGATGAGATTGCATTTGAAGCCTTGAGAGATTATGTACTGTATTTGCAGTTCCTGAACTCACGCTAACCCCAAAACAATGTTAATCAAGTGGTCAGGTACATACTGTAGATTCTAATTTTTTAAACATTATAATTTGTCTTTCTTTCCAAAAATAGCATATGGTGACACTGTGCTACAATAAGGAAAAGGGTAGCCTGTTGTGTCAAAAACACTCTGACAGGTCATGCCAAAGGATTCTCTGTGTCTGTATATTCAGTTTGGGCAATGTCCTTGTTTTCTGTCTTCATATCTGAGTGTAGATGCCCAGTTCGGTCAGGGTCAGGAATTTAAATTAATCAGAACCAGAAAGCCTTAAAAAATACATAGATGATAAAATATTGTCTCACACATTCCCTGAGAAAGCTAAAAGCACTGATTTTAAAATAATAAATTCAAAATTGTGAGTATTGTTACTACTATTGATATGTTTACCTTATAAATACATCTCTCTTATGTTGAAGTGGCTGAAGTTTTCATGTTGCCGTGAAAGATGTCCTCAAGGTTTGGTACCACCTTAGCTCCTGTTTAGGTTGAAAAAACTGACATGCAATATGCTCCACAAACTGAAGAAGGCTATTGAATTGGCAGTTGAGAGGATGAATGACGTAGGAACTTTTTAATCCTTTTTAATTCTATTCTTCTGTGTCACTTGCTTGTTACAAGAGTTTTAGAAGCCTTTAATGCACTTACAGTACAGTACATGCGAGTCACCAACAGCGAATCATCATCAGAATCTATGGATTTAATTTTCCACTGAAGGCAAAGTTTGCAGAATAGCTGACAAAAGCAGGGAACTTACATACTGTACCTAAAAAAACCCAAGCCTCATTTGCCATTGCAGAAATATTTTTAAAATGACAATAGAACACATGCTGTACTGTTGTTAAAAACAGGTTTTTATCTCTTCATTTGAAAATAATAATTAGTTGCCAACATTTCATATTCCTGTATTCATTACCAGATCACATTTAAAGTTAATTAATTCTAGATAGAAAAGTTGAATTTCAGGGGGTTTGATTAATTGCTAATTGATTTTTCTCTTGATACTTTTTCTCACTTACTGTACTTAATCTTGGTTCCAAAGAGCTTTGGAGCATTGCCTGTTCTTTCAATAACTTCTGAACATGAAATGTATCACAGAAGCCTGAAGATTAAATTGCTTGACACTGCTCAAGAATAATGACAAAACAACCTCTTTTAGTATATAAGTATATTGAAAGCAAAGGCTTCCACATAACTTTAGCTGATGTAATAGTTAAGCAAATAACATCCCAGAATGCTTAGTCTTGTATAAAAATGTAGTTTCCAATAATTAAAGCTAGCATTACATGACTCCATGTACTGCATGTACAGTAATTTCATTTTTTTCACTAGCTACCTGTAGATCAAGATTTCACATTTAAATCATGGGATGTTATTTTAAAATGTTCAAAGCACTAGTATGGTCACATTAAGAATATTGTCTATAGTTTTGGGCACCAAGCTAGGATACACGGTATACTTTAAATGGATAGGATTTTAAACAAGGAATATTATGTTAACATTGCACAAAGCATTTCTTTAAAAGTTCACT